CAATGATAACATACTTTGAGTATTTAAAATTATGTGTTCCCTGGGGCTGGAGAGATGGCTCAGAGGTTAAGAATACTGAATGTTGTTGCAGAAGACCCAGGTTCGAATCCCAGCACTCACATGGCCGCTAACAACTGTCCATAACTCCAGTTCCAGGGGAATCCGACAGCCTCTTCTGTCCTTTGTGGGCACTGCATGACATGGGTGCATTTACCTATATGCAGGCAATACATGCATACACATAAAAAAAATAAAAAAATAAGTAAAATATTTTTTAAAATTGTGTTCCCTAATATTACTAACAAGTTAAATTAATAAATTAATAAGGAATGACTTCAGTAATTTCTGTGACTCTACCCGAAGGATAGACATTTTACAAATATGTGTACCCATGCATCTGTTCTTAACAGGCATTATTGACTCCAAAGGTTAAAAACATTGAAAATGGAAACTGTGTTACTACAGCTAACCTCTAAAGCATTAGAATTTAATGACACAGTACACTATATAGTCCTTTCTCCTCCTGATCCCATGGCTCATTGCCAGTGCCCAGCATCACAGGCAAGTTCCCACCACATACTGCTAGCCTGAAAAAATATTCAAATCTTACATTTGAAATGTGGCTTCTTCTAAACGCATATCATTTTCATGTCATTATAAATTTGAAAAATCATGAGTCAAACTCTCCTAAATTTGGAAATTTCTGTAATTTTTCACTTTCCCTCTTGCCTAGAGATCCTAAATGTGACTGGAGAATCATTTTTCAACAATGTTCTAAGCAGCCACTACCAGTATCTAAAGGGTACATAAAAATAGAAGTGTATCAACATATATCAAAAGTTGCAATGCACATGCTTTATTCTTCCCCTTCATGAATGCTAAGACCCATCCTCATGACCACATCACATGTGAGGCACCATTGCCTTTCTTAGAAGTAACTGTCCTGAAGGAAGAATACATCTTCAGTGGGGACTAAAGAACATGCAATAGCAGAAGAAGATGAAGCCATAATTTGAGCAGATTTTATGGCTATATGTATTTTTGTTCCCAGGATGGGTGGGAACACTGGCCTACAAAAGTTTGGACACTGTGAAATGTGGTTAGCAATCAGAAGATTTGTTTGTTTGTTTTTGAGACAGGGTCTCACTGAGTAGCCTTTGCTGGCCTGGAACTATGTAGACCAGGCTGGCCTCAAATACACAGAGATGTTTGGCTCTGTCTCCCAGGTGTTAGGATTAAAAACATGCACCACCATGCCTGGCTTATAATCAAATGATTTAGTGAGGGTTTTCTGAATTCTGGTTTTTTTTTAATTTCATACATGAGTATTGTGTTTATTGATTTTTTAAATTTTTATTGATTCAACAATTTCATGCGATGTATTTTGATCATATTCAGACCCCTTCTCCCACCTTAACCTTTCCCTTACCACCTCTTCCCCCCGACTTTATGTCCTCTATTAGTAAATGGAAACCCCATCCATCTTATACAACATATCTAAACTGGGTGTCAGAGAAATCATGTTTCATTAGAATGTTGGGGATCTGTCAAAGTAAGGGCCCACTCCCTTTCCTTTATACATGGTTTGGGTCAGAATACTCCCAGGTTTCTTGGAATGGAATTTCCACACTTGTTTTTTATTTCTCTTACACACTGCTTAAGATTGTCAAGTAGGGATTTCTCTCTTCCTCAGCGATCAGTAATGTTTGTGTTTCCTCATCAAAGTCATTTAGTTATTCACAGTCCGAGTACATGCAGGTTACACTTTGGCTGATTCACGGCCTCACTCAGCACAAAGACCCTACTGTGGTCCAAAGTGTTCTCCAACGAGTTCATTCCCCAGAGGATTTTACTGTAGGTAGAAAAAGCAGCTAGGTCCTTACAGCACGTAGCAGTTAGCACACAGACTTCCAACCCAAGGTTCTATGAGTGGCTATTGGGATGTTTCACAGTTTCACGCAGTCACTTTATACCAGTGTCCTCCAACTTATTTTCTGAAATCTGTAGGCTTCTCAGGTTCCTGTTGCTGTTGATGACTACAGCCAGGTCTTGAAAGCCACTAGATGATAGTGGCCAGGCAAGAGTTAGTGCTCTGTGCAGTAGCTGTTTGCAGGCCCAGCCCCTCGGCAAAAGAAGTGTACACGGGGTGGCACGGTGGGATGGTTGAAGCCACCTCCTGGCTGCAGCTGCAGCCTTCCCCCTTAGCCCAAACTCAGTGACTAGGGGGCTGCTTCTCCCTCCAGGGCACAGGAAGTCAGGACTCAGTGTTTGCTTCCTAACAGTCAAGGACCCAGTTGGCTCTCTTGGTGTCCACTGCCCTCACATCTTCCTCCATGCCCAGTGGCTACAAATGATGAGACATCTTCTTACTGGAGTCACGTTAGAAGTCCTTATACCTAGAGCTGCCCCAGGCACTGCAATTGCTCCACTGCCCTCAGCCGTCATGCCACCATCTTCGCTCTCCAGTTATTTTCTTTCATACTTGCCAAGTCCTGAGTTCAGAATTTTGAGATCAATATAGAAACACCTATGGCCACCAAAATATTCACGGCTTGTGTGATAAGGTTCCTCACATGGTCCAGCACAAGGCTGGCTACCCAGGGCACGCTTCATTCCATTGCCATCAAGGTTTACCTTACTAAATCTTTTTGTTTGTTTGTTTGTTTTAAAAATACATGGAAAATGTCACTACGGTCTCCTCTGTTATTTATTTTTGTTTTGTTTGTATTGCTTTTGTTTCTGTTTTTGTTTTCTCGCAGGGCCTCACTATGTATCTCTCCCTGGCTAGCCTGGAACTCACCTTGTAGACCAGGCTCTACTTGCCTCTGCCTGAGATTAAAGTCATGTTCCACCATGTCCTGCTCCTGAATCATTCTTTATAACAGGCCCATTTCTTAAATATTCTATTTTTGGCTGTCATAAATAGAGATCATTGAAAAAAGAACTCAAAAATAATAAATGCTCTGATAAGAACTTCAGTCTCTGAATCAAACCTCTGGAAGCAATTTCCAATGACTCCAAACAGTTTCCTGCTGGCGTTGGTAGGATTTTCAAAGAGGAAAAGATAGTTGTGCAATTGTATCCAAAGAAGACCAGAAGCCAAGAGGCTGGGTTAGAAATCAGAGAGTCAGAAGCCCTCTCTCTTCTTGATTTCTCTACAGTTCTTCAGAAACTATTTTCCCTTCGTAAGAACTTCATTTGTGGAAGAGGAGGAAACTACATTTTTCAATTGACATATCCAGAGCTGACTGCACCCCAGTCAGCATTATTAGAATAATCGCTGATACAATGCTGCCCCCTAGCAATGGTTCAGCCCTGGCCTGGGCCCCAGTAGTCCTCTCCCCAGGCTGCTTGGACCCTTCTTAATACTCAGAGCATGTTCAAACAGAAAGGGAGGTGTGGACTAAGTTGGATCCCTAATGATAATTTAACAATGGTAAAGATGAATTAACTGAGACTCAGAATAGTCAAGTAACTTCCTCAAAGTCACACAGGTACAGCTGAAATTGGAACCCGTATTTACATCTTGTTTTGTTCCCTTCCCCTCTCCCCTCTTCCCACATTCTCTCAACTCCTCCCTCTCGGTGTAGACGTAGTTAGGTTTCTGTGATTAGGTTATGAAAAAACTCTGAGTGACATCAGTCAAAAAAGGAGTCAATGAATTATTATAACAATGAATTCTTTCTTTAGCTTATTTAAAATTTTAATGCAAGAAGGAAGAATATACAAGACTGACCACAAATCCCTGGGAATTCTGTTATGAAATAGGGTTTCTAGGTGTGCTGCAAATTCCAGCAGGCAAGCCCCCACTCACCTTAATTCAGAATAAACACAGTTGTACATGGTGATAGTTGAAAGAAAGTTATTGCAGGTCTGAGCCAGCGGGAAGAATCTGCCTTCCTGAACCTCCTCCCCTGATTAGCAGAGTTGAGAGTGGGATAAAAGTTAGCTGAACATATCCTCAGCATATTTCCAACAATACTTCTCCTAATAAGTTTCAGAACAGTTAAATTCCTAATAAAATATATTAGAAGGAAGATCAGTATTATTATCCATGAGGGAGATGCAATTCAAAACCAGAATGAGATACCACTTTGCCCACTGAGATGACTAGATTGAAAAGGTGAAGGGCTATTGATGGAGCTCAGTGGTAGAGTACTTGCCTGGCGTGCATGAGGCCCTGTGTTCAATCCAAGCATCACAAAAAAAGTAATAACGAGTAATAACCCTCACTCAGCTGATGAGAAAGGAAAATGGTCCTCCTACTTTGGAAAACTAGTTTGTCGGTTTTACAAAGGGTTAGCTATCTACTTAATGGAGCGAAAATGTATGGGTAGTCAAGAAATCAAAGCATATATGGAATTCCATGATTAAATTATTAATTTGTGTGATAACTTAAAAAATAATAATAATAAGAGAAGAATGCATTTTCACATGGGAATTTGTTTATGAATGTTTGTAGAAGCAGTATACATATGCATAAGTAGAACACAGTATGTGCATACAATGAGATACTGTTCAGCTAAGAAAAGGAATGAAGCACTGACACATGCCATAACATAGACAAACCCTGAAAACATTACAGTAAGTGTACGAAGCCAGTTATAAAAACCACATATGATTCCAATAGTGTGCAATGTCCAGAATAGGTTAACCTATAGGGACAGAAAATAGATAAATGGTTTCTGAAGCATGGGGAGAATGGCAAATGAATTCTACACTAAATTGATGATACTTTGTATGTGAAGTATATCTCAATAAAGCTATTACCAAAAATTTATCATAGCAGAGGAAACTATGGGAAAGCAAATCTGACTATTAAATATTAATGTCTACATCAGTGCTTAGACCAATGAGCATCTCCACAAAGGTTGTCACATGCTGGAACTTTAATTTTTCTGAAATCTTACCAGCTTTTCCAGGTCTGATTTAGCTGTGAGTGCAGCACCTTTTATATGAAAGGAGAATCATCCAAGCGTCTGTCAGAAAATGTCTGCTTTATGCTTTTTAGTGTTATAAGCACTAAAATCGAAACTACAGAGAAGATTAGCATGGCTCTTGCTTAAATATGATACACCAATGTAAACAGAAGCCCATGTTTTTTTTAATTTTCTTTTAGTGTGTGTGTGTGTGTGTGTGTGTGTGTGTGTGAGGGGGGGGGAGATGAGGGTGAGGAGTATACACTATGCCATGGCACACATGTGGATGTCAGAGGACAATTTTTGAGAGTCAATTCTCTCCTTCCACCATGGATTCCAGGAATTGAACTCAGGTCATCAGACTTTCCCAGTAAGCACTTTTACCTGATGAGCCCTCTTGCCAACCCTGTCCACATTTTGATTTTATTGCATTGTTGCAATTATCATATGATACAATTTGATGGTATATAGATCCCCTCCCTTATCCATAACTCCCAGTCAATTTAATGTTCTCTGTCTCTCTCTCTCTCTTTCTCTCTCTCTATCTCTCTCTCTCTCTCTCTCTCTGTGTGTGTGTGTATGGCCTATGGAGTCTAATTTGTGTCCCCAAATGTCCTTCAATGTGGGTCCATTCACTGGCCCTGATAAGAGTCACATCCCTATAAGACACTCAGTCCACAATTTTTTTTTTTTGGTCTTTTTGAGACAGGGTCTCCCTGTAGCCCCAGCTGGCCTGGAACTCACTATGTAGACCAGGCTGGTCTTGAACTCACAGACATCTGCCTGTGTCTGCCTCCCAAGTGCTGGGACTAAAGGCGTGCACCACCACGCCTGGCAAGTCCACAATTTTTTTTTTAAGAAGAATATGTCTGAATCTTGACTGGTAGTAGAGTGTATATGTAGAATTAGAAGGTCACAATTTGGGTCCTGGCTTCTGTGTAAATGTCCCTTTGTCAGTCAAAATCTCTCCTCACTGACCTATATTGGCCCTAGAGGAGCTAAGAGACTACTAGTGTACTGGTGTACTGGTAAGATCCTGCTTTCGTTTGGGTGCCCCTAGGGATTACCTTTTCTTTAGTTCAGGTTCAGCTATGAGTCTTCCCGACCCTTTCTCCAGCCTTGATTTGAGTTGGAAAAAAACTCTAGATTCTGGATTGCTTCTATTAAGTTGCCAAAACAGGGTCTAGGGCCTTTTCAGTGTGTATATTCTCTTCCAGTGTTAGAACCAGAAAAACCTTCCACAGGAGATATGAAATATATAATATATAATCACTTTCCTTCTTTATTTTCTCCCCCCATTTCATGAAGAAGAAACAAAAACATATTGAAAAATAAGTGCTAAAAAGAAGTCAGCACTTGGTATAACCATAAAAATCTCTTCCACCTCATTGAGAGGTGCCTGGGGGAGAATTTTAGCTTCCTTCTTCGCTGATAGCTCAGACCTAAGGCAGAGCTGCTCTGAGGTCATAGCTAGACAGTGAATAGAACCTCCTGAGGTTACTGATGCTTCACAATTATTAATTCTTGACTTTGAATGCTGAAGACATTTCCCAAATGGTAAGAAAAATTCATATCTAGAGTTATATTGGGGAAGGACAGAAAGTAGGATTATTTTTATTCATACTTCCAGTTTTATGAGCTTCAAATGTTGGCTGTTGTTCAGCAACAAATTTGTTCAGTGAGTCCTCAGGGGGGACATTTGGCTAAAACAATAAAACTTTATATATAGTGGAGCAGTTGTGTAGAGATCTAGGGACAGATTTTATGTGTTCAAATTCCAGCTTTGCTGCTTCTTTTCCCTGTAGCTTTGGGCCAGTTACTTAACTTCTCTGGGCCTAAGGTTCACAGTCTGTAAAACAAGATCAATAAGACCACCCACTTCTCAGAACTGGTGGTATTTTTCTCACAGGAACACAGAGCAAAAGTAATGTTATTTCAGTGTCCAGGTGACAAAGTATGGCATACAACTGAAAGGGGCATTCCTACCCTTTGAGTGAACTATCAGTATCTTCACCCAAAGCTATTCGAAAGCAGATGTGTTCAACTCTTCATTGCGGTAACGAAATACCTCATATAATCAATTCAAAATGAAGAAAGATTTGTTTTGTCTCATTATTTCACAAGTTTCTGGCCCTGGGTCACTGCTTCTAAGCGATGACGCTCAACTCGTGGTACCCAGGAAGCAGAAAGAGACAGACTGGAAGGGGCCAAGACATAGTTTCTCCTTACCTACATCTTCAAACTTGGCCCCAACTTCTTAAGTTTCCAGCACCTCCAAAAATAGTGCTACCAGCTGGGGACCAAGTCTTCAACACATGAGCCTATATATAGGGGACATTCAAGGTTCAAACCATAACTGGAGGGCAGCACTATTTAGACCTCTCATTGTGTAGTTGGTAATGCCCCAGAATCCACGTTCCCAACCCCAATAGGCCTCTTCTGCAGCTGGAGCAAGGACAAGTGGCTGCCCTAGCTGATCTCCACAAGGCAGGGTAAGAATCAAAGAACAACAGGAAACGACTGCTGCAGAACAAATGAAACTACAGAAATCTTCCCCAATGAACTGGAGAAAACCCTCAAGAATCTGAGGTCTGATAACGCACAGGTGAGGCCAGGGTTTGGTGCCACCTGAGTTGTCCCTACTTATGAGAAGTTATTTTTACCCATGGGTCAGTGAGACCTAAAGAAACATGAACTACCATTTTTTTTCAGCAGGCAAAATGGTCCCAAGTACTTGGGTATATGATAGCCTGGCTCCATGGACCGGCTGAGTAGCTCTTGAAACATTTCTAAATATAACCATTAGGGTTGGTGGACAAGGGACTGAGCTCAGAGTATGATTGGCCATCATCAGTTCCATTTATCTCTAGTGAGAGGAAAAAAATGAAAGGAAGATGAGTGGCGGGGGGAGAACACAGGAATTGCCATTGCTCTCTATTATCATGGCCATAAGAAAATGAGGTTCATTTTGAAGACATTTTCTTTCCTTTATGCATTTTGCAACATGAGTTGTGACTTCCATATCATTCACTTCTCTTTCCATAGATTTTGCTCTTTTCTGAGATAACAGCAAGCCTGGTTGAACATGAATACCCATACTCCATTTGGGTCTGGACTGAGTCATATGTAAGCCAATGGGTACAGAAAAGAGGGTGAAAGCTGGGTCCCCTGGGGCCAATTGTCTCCTTGCCTGGAATTTATGTTGCCCAATTTACTGTGCCCTCTTTTTCCTCAGGCAACAGTGTTGGCTATTGAGGCAGCTAAAGGCATCCCCCAGAGCCAGATTCTCACGTACAGTACCATGAGCCTGCCAAATTGTCTGCTAGTCTTTGCTTTTCCTGAGAATAATTTTCTTCTTCCTGGAATTAGACCCAATGTTTAGGGTAATGTAGCAGCAGACTAGAATCCCCAGAGAGGCCTTAGGTTCTGCCCTTGTTGTTCCTCCCCCACTGCCACCACACTAGATCATTCGGCCAACCAATGCCCTGGACTGTTGCACAGAAGCCCCAAGCTGCCTCTGACCCCTTTGTCTATCCTGATTCCAAACTGCCACCAACTTAGCTTTAGAAAATATTTCTAATTTTGCCATTAATTCAGTTTCTTAAAGATCTGTGAGTATCCCAATTATATTATTAAACAAATAAATGGGTCATATTGTATCAAATTTCCCATTCTCCTGTTTCTTATCTTAAAGGTCTTCAGAATTTAGATCTGAATTATTTAAATATGTTTTTGCTTATTGTTTACCCCTTCCTTAATTGGAATGAAATTTTTATATGAGAAAAAGTGTTCTCTCTCCCTGAAATAGGGGTTGGCAAGATGGCTCAGGAAGTAAAAGCAATTGCTAACCAGGCCTGAAGGCCTGAATCTGATCCCCAGGATCCACATGGTGGAAAGAGAGAACCAACTCCCAAAAGTTGTCCTCAGACCTCTACATATACATTGTGGGGCCCCATTCCCCACCCCCTCCAAATAAATAAAGGTTAAGAAACTTAAGAACTTAATAAATCAAAACTGGCCACAATTCATTTTTTCACAAATGACTTTTATTTGTATGATTACAAATGTAATACATGCTTACTCTAGAGAATCTGCAAAGTACAGAGAACAATAAAAAGAAGAAAATGAAGATCATTCATAACCCACCACCTGAAGGCAAACACTGTTCATATTAGGTTCTAATTAGCTATGCCGGTTTAGAGACCAAGACCCTTTTGAAGAGTGATGGCCATGAAGCACAAAAGCCAAGGAAAGTGAGGGCAATTAACAACTGAGGGGATCACCCAGAGGTCAGAGCTAGAGATTCCACACTGAAGCACAAGGGCCATAAGCAACAGATCAAGAGGTCAGATGCTAACAACACAAAACCAACTTGGGTTACTGTAACACTGTAGTGAGATGGTGCTTGTCAAGAGCTTAGCCCAGTACCTATCACATGGCACATTATCAACAATTGTTAGCCGTTACTGTCACTACTAATAAGACTGTGGGTCTAAACAAATGGTTCAGGATGGATACTGGGCCCTAGAGACCCATTTTACGTACTATGAGTTGGGGCATATAAGGGCAAGACTACTGGTTTGAAAGAGTAATATAGGAGTGGGTATCTCTCTCTCTCTCTCTATGTTCCCTTGCCAGGTGGAATGGGACCAGGGTTTCCTCAACTTTGCCTGATGACAAATGGCAAGACACTCTAAGGTGTTTTGAGGTAGGACATGATTTCTCCTGCCCAGACTTCTCCCTGGACCAAAAATAGAACTGGCCATGATGATGATGGGAGTCAGAACCTCATACACTACACAGTCTTGTAGTCCATACTGATTGTCGGGGCAGGTTACAGGCATGTAGGTGAAAGAGAAGGTCAAGGCAACCAAGTAGGAAGTAAGGTGAGATGTGTCTGTAGGGGAAGGCTGGAGGGTGAAGGCAACAAGGCTTATGATGTAGTTGAATGGAATGGGTCCAGGAACCAGTCCTCAAATTAGCAGCCAAGTCAGAAATCACAGAAGATTCCAGGGAGCACTACTTGTTAGTAGGGCCCTTCTGATGAACTATGCTCTTTCGAAGATGGTCATGAAGACTTTCTTGGGGGTCTCCATGTTCTTTCAGGTAATAACATCGTTTGGGAACATGCTGGTGCTGTATGGGAAAAAAAACACCAGAAATAAGAACTACAATTCCTGTGACAAAAGACATTCTGCTTGGTTAAGTTCTGTAAGCTGGCAAGCCAAAGAACTCGGCTAATTTATCAGACTTGTAAAAGTGTGACCAGGTACTAGGCTAACCAAATCCCCTAGTGACTTGAGTCCACAACACATGTGGTTATAGGTAGAATCAGTCCATAAAAGAAGAAGTCCCTCCCTTAGAATCAAGTTTACATTAAGTAGAATTGGGACTGAGCCTAGTAAGCTCTCTTGTAATCAAAAGACAGTGCTTTAAGCATCCCAAGCCCTCTGTAACTTGGGTTGGACATTGCTCCTGAAAATAGCTAATATACCCAAAATAATCCACACTCGGTGATAAAATTCTGCATTGGGCTTTCATGGACTGGGAATTGAGTACCTCCCTCTTGCCTCTTCCTTAATTCTACTTGGAAAAGTAAGAGTGTAATCCCACCCCATCATTATCTGCTTGTTTTCCTCCTCAGAAACAGTGAGCATATGCCCCCTTCATTACCTCCTCAGTCTGCTGCTGAGAGCTCAGTTCATTCTCCATGACCTCCTCATTGTTCCGCTTACAGGATGTCGGCACAACCTGGCTTGAGTTGCCTGGGGAATCCTTCTCTTCAGCCAGCTGGCACTCAGTGTAGAGAGACCTGTCTATCAGTTCCTTTAGGCTGCCGGCCACCTTCAGGAAGATACGACCCATTTTGGTGGTAACAGCTTCAGAGAGTCCTTCCAGAAACCTGGTCCGTAGAATGGCATCAGACCAAGACAAATGTCGAGCCAGCAGCAGGAAGTCAGTGGCATACTGCCTAACTGACTTCTGGCCCTGCTTGGGATGGCAAAGAACAGCACTAAGGATGTCTATCTCAGACAGGGAGTCATATAAACCATGTGATCTTCTCAGAAAAGATTTATTTTCACTGGAGAGGGGGTTTCCTACCTCCATCTGCAAAATGGACCACCTCTCTGCTGCCCCCAGATGAAGAGATACCAGAAATGCCATTTTCTCAGAATCATTCAAAAATCCCTTCATTTGCTTCTCTTCATCAATCTCCGCATCTTCTTCCATGGAGCATGAACCACGAGCTGCTTCTTGCTCTTCTAAGAGGTAACAGAGTGCTGGGGTCAACATACCAAAGGAAGGCACTTCCTTCGGTGGTGGCTTCTTCATTTCAGGGATTGCACCGCTCATGTGTGGTGTGGTCTTTGATCCAGGGCCTGTGACTCTAATGTGCGAGGTAGATGCCTCTCCAGAGACTGTGGCTTTCCTATCCAGACTGGACATAATTCCAAAGGCTGTTTGTGGTGTGGACATTGTTCCAGGTTCCGGGGCCCTCATTAGTGGCATGGACATCCCTCCAGAGGCTGTAGCTGTCGTCTGTGGCATGGATATCCCTTCTAAACTTGTAGCTCTCGGTAGTGGCATCGACATCATTCCTCTCACAAGTGGTATAGCTACCTCTCCAGAAGCTGAGGCTCTCAGTGGGGGTATAGCCACCCCTTCAGAAGTTATATATGTCGACTGTGGCAAGGATGTAGCTTTAGAGCTCATGACTTTGGTTTTTGGAGTTGACATTGCTCCAGAGGGCATGGTTTTCATTAGTGGTATGGATATCTCTCCAGAAGTCATGGATGACATCAAAGGCATGGGCATGGTTCCAGAGGCTGAAGCTCTCACTAATGGCTTGGACATTCCTCCAGAGGCCATAGCTGTCAGTTGTGAAGTGGACATCTTTCCAGAGGTTGGGGCTCTTGTTAACTCTGTGGCCACAGCTCCAGGAGTAGAAACTCTCCTTAGTGGTGTAGACACAGTTGAAGAGGCAGGTGTTCTGACTGGTGGTGGAGAGATGCCTTCAGTGGTTTGAGTTTGCACTGGGAGTGGGCACATATCTCCACAGTCTGTGGCCATCATTTGTGGTATAGACTTTGCTCTAGAAGCTGTGGTTCTCATCGGTGGCACAGACATCCCTCCAGAGGCTGTTGGTCTCACTAGTGGTGTGGACGCCGATGCAGGGGCTGAAGCCTTCATCGGTGGCATGGACATCATTCCTGAGGCTGTGGCTGGCATTTGTGGGGCAGATATTGTTCCATAAGCCAAAGCTCTTGGAGGTGGAGCTGTCTCTCCAGAAGTTGAAGGTCTCAGTGACAGAGGCGTCTCTCCAGAAGAAGCTCTATTGTGCAGTGTGGGCATCTCTGAAGAGTCTGAGGCTCTGGTTAGGGGTGTGGACATTGGTCCAGAAGCATGATCACTCATCTGCATCACTCCTGGGGTCATGGGTCTCATAAGTGATGTGGACAGCCCTCCGGAGTCTTGAGTGCTCATTGGCTGGCTAGACATCTTCCCAGAGGCTGTGGCTCTCATGAGTGTTGTGGGTGTTGCTCCAGGACCTGAGGATCTCATCAGAGGCACAGACATACCTCCAGATGTGGTGGTTGTCATCTGCAATGTGGACATCGCTCCAGAAGCCGTGGCTCTCATTAGCAGTGTGGACATCCCTCCCGAAGCTGTATCTGTTATTTGTGGCATGGACAGGGCTCCAGGAGCTGTGTCTCTTATTAGTGGTGCGGGCATTGCTCCAGAGGGTGCAGTTGTCATTTGTTGCATGAACATGGTTCCAGAAGGTTTGGATGTCATTAGTGGCTGGGACAATGTTCCAGAGGCTGGAGCTCTCATTTGTGGCATGGATGTCACTCCCGAGGCTGTGTCTCTCATTAACAGTGTGGACGTTGATCCAGAGGTTTTGGCTGTCGTTAATGGACTAGACATCACTCCAGATGCTGTGGTTCTTATTTGTTGTGTAGATGTCAATCCTGAGACCGTGCTTCTCATTTGTAATGTGGACATTGGCCCAGAGACTGGAGCTCGGATTTTCTGTGTGGACACTGACCCAGAGGCTGGGACTGTTGATTGTGACATAGACATTTCAGAGTCTGTGGCTGTAACCAGTTGTGTGGACATCACCGCAGAAGCTGGACATCTTACTCGCTGTGTGGACACTGTTCCATTTGCTGTGGCCTTCATAAAGCCCATGGGCATTGCTCCAGAAGGCGTGGCCATTGCTCCAGAAGGCATGGCCATTGCTAAATGTGTAGACATCACACTGGAGGCTGCAGTTGACATTTGCTCTGTGAACATTGCTCCAGGGCTTGTGACAGCCATCATTGGAGTGGACATTGATCCAGAGACTGGGACTGTCTTTTGTGATGTAGAAGATCTCATTAGTGATGGAGCCGTTGCTCCTGTATCAGAAGCTCTTGCCGGCAGTGTGGACATCATTCCAGTGGTTGTGGCTCTAATTGGTGGAGCAGGCATGATCTCAGAGTCAAAACTTTGTGTTAGGTGTGGAGACATCACTCCAGAAGCAGAGGCTGCCATCGGCTGGGTGGGCATCACTGTGGAGGTTAGAGCTGTCATTAGCAGTGGGGATATTGCCTCGGCATCTGGGGCTGACTTTGATAATGTAGATATTTCTCCAGCTTCTGGCATAGACAATAGTGGTGTGGACATTGCTCCAGAATCAGAAGCAGACATTGGCAGTGAAGACATGACTCCAGAGTCTGGGCCTGACATGAGCATAGGGGGCATTCCCTCAGAGTCTTGAGGGTTTGTGAGCTGGGTTGATGTTTCTCCAGAAGCTAGGGCCGACATTATTAAAGAAGACAGCACTTCAGAATCTGTGCCTGACATAAGCAGTGATGATATCTCTCCAGAAGCTAGGGCAGTCATTAGCACTTTGGACATCGCTTCCGTGTCCTCATCTGTAATTTGCAACGGGGACATTGCTTCAGAGCCGGGAGTTGTCATTGGTAGTGTGGGTGTCATTCCAGGGTTTATATCTGGAATCAGGAGTGGGGAGATCTCACCAGGATCTGAGCCTAGCATTAATGTTGTGGACATTGCCTCAGAGGATGAAGCACTCATTATAGGCGCAGACATTGCCCCAGAGGATGAAACCGGCATTGCCAATGGTGATACCTCTGTAGAATCTGGTGTTGCCATTAGCGCTGCAGACATTGTCCCAAAGTCAGGAATTGTCATCATCCCTGGGGACATTATCCCATAGTCTGAAGTGGACAATAATGGGGACAATGTTCCGGAATCTGAAGCTGGTATTATCAGTGGGGACAGCACCCCAGAGTCTGAGACTGGCATCAGCAGTGGGGACAGTGTTCCAGAATCTGAGGTTGGCATTAGCAGAGGAGACAGTGTCCCAGAGTCAGAGCTTGGCATTATTGGTGGGGACAGTGCTCCAGAGTTGGGTGTTCCCATGAGTGATGTGGTCATACTGTCAAAGGCTGGAGATGTCATCAACTGTGTAGATGTCCCTCCAGGGTCAGAGGCTGAAGTTGAGACCATAGGCAAATGAGAATGCAGGATTTGGAGCTCTGCTCTGTTCTCTGTTGTTGGTCTAGGGAAAGTTGTGCCCCTGTTTTGGGGGTCGGCATTTTCTTCCCTCATCATGCTGTTGAATCGCCGTGAATGTACTGGTATTGACATATCCACCACAAGACAGTGTGAACGGAGGTCTTAAAGTGATGACATCAGGGATCCTTTCTGACTCCCACAGGTCAAGGAAATCTATAAATAGCAAAGTTTAGAGGTCAAAAGCCAATTTCAAAACATAGACAAATAATTCATAGATGCCTGCTTTTATATGTTGTCATGAATATGGCATTGAAGGTGGACCTATCAGTTTGAAGAAACTGTGAAGCATCAAATAGCATAAAAATTCCTGAAGTCAGAGCAATCATCCTCTGTCCTTTACAAACCAACCCACCCAGTTACACAGCACAGTCTCCAAATTTATAAACACCAACAGCAGGCTCTGAAGCCAGGCAGTCCTTGATCAAATGAGTCAGCAGCACCACCTTCTGGCCAATTGTGAGAAGTACAGGTTTCAGGGCTATGTTCGCCCACTGCAGCAGTCAAAAATCAACATAATTGCTGGCAGACCTGGATCAAAAAGCCCTTCGCCTCACGATAATCATTAGTTCCTAGAGCTAATTGAATCTTGCCAGTGGTTTAATCCAGATTTTGCTAGTATTATGTATTTGAATGTCTTTTCTCAAGTAGCACATTTATCTACACAATGATTCAGAATAGCATTCTACAAAGTAAAAGCCTTGTTTAATGTCATCATCATCATCATTAAGAACAACAACCACCACTACAAAACTATTTATTGCTAACCTAGTAGGTGCATCGAAAGCACTGCACTTTAAATAACTCTACATAACTTTAAAGCACCTGTAATGTACAAGGCTTCGCAAGTTTTGTTCTACTTGGATCTTAGATATTATTATTCCCCTTGTACCAGCTTTCTAAGATTAGCGAAAGCTGGGCCTAAAATAGGGTCACTGTGACAGTAATACACTATGTATCTTTGCATCTCAGACCTTGCTTGGGGTTACTCGGTCTTTGGGTCCCTAAGGTTGCATTTAATTGTTTGTCTAACATCCTAGACTAGAACTCACTGGCAGCCTAGTCTGTACCATGTATAAACTCCAAGTTCTCTGTTGACCTGGAGGGTGGGCAATGTTGACCTGGAGGGTGGGCAATCTCAGAGCCTTACCATCTGGCCTGTGCCCATAAGCCGCCCCAGAGGGGGCTCTTTGAAACACAAGTTGGAAACCAATACAGACATTACACAAGATTGATATGTCCCCACAGGCTGATCATGCCAAAAACGGAAGACTGGCTACTTTGGGGCAATGTCAAAGAAGTCATCAATCTCATGGCTTTGTGCCTCCATAATGATGTGAAAACTAACAGCAGAAATACCAACAGCAAGGATTTCTTGAGCATGCACAGACTGGTAAGCATTCTGCTAGGCACTTTACCTGCCTCATATCATTTGATCCCCACAGCAACCCTCAGAGATTTGGGCAATAATCTTGCTTCATCTTACAGGGAAGAGAAAGAAGGCACACAGAAGCGTCATAATTTGCATGTGATCCTAGAGATTTACAGGCTCAGCCAATTCCACAGCCCCCTACTCTTCACTACTAGACTATCATGATCCACTTCTTCCCTTCCTCAGTCTCATTGACTGGATAACCCCAAGGTAAGATGTCTTAAAAACACTAGTCTCTTGCTGACATTTCAGTTACCCTAATCTTAACTGATGCACTGGGCAAGATGAGTCAAAAGATCAGTCCTCCACCTCTACTTTCCATCTTCAGGAAAAAAAAAAAAAAAAAAAAAAAAAAAAAAAAAAAAAAAAAAAACATGTACATAACACAATTTCCCACTAGGCAAAACTCAGAAAGATCTTACCTTTCCAATTACAGAGAAGAGGGATAGAGTGTCCTTTGCACTCTAGCTCTTTTGCTCTGGCCAATTGGCTTATACCATGTGCCAGTTCATTACAGCAAGGCCCAATACCAGCAGCTGTTCTCTGCAATCTCCCTTAGCTATCCCCTGCCACACCCCCCTCTTGCCCAGCAGCCTGCCTGCCCGCCCACCCGCCCCACTGCTCCTGACTTGCTAGTGCTTGCTCTGGCTCTCTGGTCCCAGATTCCTGCCTCTATATAGGCTCTGACATTTGCCTCTGGCCGCCTTTCACTTGTCAACCCTCCAGAAGCTCCACTTTAGCTCTCTCGGCCTATGCAACTCCACCCCTTTTTCTCCTTGCCTCCAATGATCCTATCAGCCTCTTCCCCACTCCACTATGCCCACCTCTGACTGCCCCCAAAGAGAATGAAACAATCAAAGAGATGAATCCAGAAGGGTTCGCACTCAGAAAATGAAACATGCATGGTCTAAAGCTAGGCAGACACAACTACCCAGGGCACTGGACACTGCAACCAATCAGACCAGGAAGTCCTGGCTCAATGTTTGAGGTAAGGGCTGGGCTATGGTTGAAGATCTAAGGCAATAGAATCTGTGAAACTCAAAGAAGTACACATATAGGGAAAGGAGTGTGGGAAAGGCTGGGCAGTGGGACCTGGAAAAATTAACACCTTCCCAGAGCCCCATGGTCATGAGACTTTTAAAAAGCTACTCTGCCCCAGTGTCAGAGACACAGAGAGAAATCTGGCAGCCAGTGTCCATTCTACAGACCTGTGGTGTTCACCATGAGGCTCCATGGGTTTTAGACAGCTGCCAAGTATGCCAGATTAGAGCATGCCAGGTGAGGACTCGTCACATAAACAAGGCTGAAGCCTGGCTTCTACAATCAGGGCACAAAGTTATAGCAGAAGTACAGAAATATTACCATGGTGTGTTTTCTCTCTCTCTCTCTCTCTCTCTCTCTCTCTCTCTCTCTCTCTGCTATATGTGTGTGTGTTTTGTGTTATCTGTGCGGTCTATCTCTCTCTCTCTCTCTCTCTCTCTCTCTTCAGTGCTGGGCATAGAACCCAGGACCTTGCACATGCTCCCCAAGCACTCTACCACACCCCCAGTCCCATTTCAGCTCTTTTGTCTGGCCAATTGACCGATACCTTTTGCCACGTATACAAGAAGGCTTATACCCTTCTTAAATTGTTACCACTTCAGCGCTTATTCAGCCCAGGGTCAGAATGGGTCACTCTGGATAGGCAATTCAGATAGCCCAGGTTTGTGAACTCGGAATTTGTGGATAGAGTCATTCAACTCATTATATACCTCAAAATTAGCAACCAACAGCAACTCAATTAACAGTCAACAATAATAAGCCTTTCAGCTAAGCACTAGACACACATTACATCACTTAGGTTTCCTGGCATTGCCACCATTCCCATTTTACAAATGGAGATGCAGGTTTGAAAAAGTTTATATGACCAAGGTCACTGAACTAGCTCTAATGAGAATGCTGGGTTTAAGCTCTGGTCAATTTGCTTTGAAATCATTTTCTCTCTTTGTAATCCATGATTAGAAACATTAGAAGTGTTCTCCTCACTTACATGTGCCCCATCCCACCAAGCAAAGAAACCTTAACCACAAATGCCTAAATTGTAGTAGTCTAAGTAATAGTGGTACCTGACTTTGATTATGGTTTTTCTCACATGCCAAGAATAGTGCTAAGTGCTTCCTAAGCATTACTTCCTTGGATCTTTACAAACACTCTTTGAGCTAGAACCTTTTAATTCCTGGTTTGCCTATAAAGAAGCTGAGCTTCAGCAGGTATTATGGTTTAGATGTGAATTGTTCCCCCACAGACCCATGTGTCTGACTAACACTTGGTCCACTGCTGGTAGTTGTTTTGGTAGGGACTGAAACCTTTGGGACACGGGGCCTAATCTGGCAGACATGAGCCACTGGCCATGGGCTTTAGGGATTAAGCTCAAGCCTGTTTGGAGTCCTGTACCCTGCTCCCCGATTCCTCAAGATATGAGAAGCGGCTGCTTCTGCTATGGGCCAGCAATGCCCGGCCACCATGCTTTCCCCATCATGATGTTCTCATATCCTCTGAAACTGTAAGGCACAGTAAGTCTTTGCTCTCTTAAGTTGCTTCTGTTAGGAATTTTGTCACAGTGATAAGAAAAGTAACTAATATGGCAGGCAGCATGAGAAAAAAACCACACAGCTGCCTGACACCAGAGTTCATGCTATTATATACTACTCAAAAAGAAACTGTCCTCTGAATGAAAAAAAAAGAAATAGTCATAGAAAACTCATTCTAGGGCCTTAGAGAATTGTTCATCAGGTGAAAGCACTTGGGGCACAAGACTAGTGACCTGAGTTCAATCCCCAGAACCCACAATGGAAGACAATTAACTCTCAAAAATCGTCCTCAGACTTCTACACATGCAACATGGAGCACATGTGCCTGTAGACACAAACACACACACACACACACATACACACACACACACTAATATAATAATAGATTAAAATCTAAATAAAACCTATTCTATTAACAATGGTTTCATAATGATAACTATTATTCAAATTATTAGCAAAACTAACGATTAAAGCTAGCAATTTCTGTGCCAGGCACTGTACTAAATGCTTTGCTTACATGATCTCATCTAATACAATATCCCTCATGAACTAGGTGATATTATCTCCTTCATCCACATGAGAATCCAAAAGCACAGAGACATTAACTAGCTTGCCCAGTGTCACCCAGCTACAGAGCACGGTTGTCTATGATAACAAAAGCATGGAAATAATCTGAATACCTGATGTTAGAACACTATGCGCTTAATGATTAAATGACTCATGGTACAATTTAACAGCCAGTAATGCAGCTACTAAGAATGAAAATCTAATGTAGACATAATTATGAGTTTTTTTTTAATAAAATAAATGTGTGTGCTTTTACTCTGGGTAGGGTAGCACACATCTATAATCCCAGAATTCAGAAAGAAGGCTGAGGTTGAAAGATCGAAGATTGGAGGCCACCTATAAAAGTGAGGCTCTATCTCAAAAAAAAAAACAATTGTTTTAAATGTACATATTTTGTCCATAAAATTAAAGTCTAGAACAGCATATCCAAATATTAACAGTGACTATACTTCAATAGCAGAATCGTAGGGTATTTTCATTTTCATCTTCCTTATCTGTATTTTCTTGTTTGTCTAAACTAGTCCCCTTATAATTGTATGAAAAGAAACAAAATTTAATGTCCCTTTTTTTAAAAAAGTCTGATTTTCTATGGTTCTATCCCTAGCCCTTTCCACCACTCTTCCTGCATACACTCTCTAGGGATCCCCAAAATGCACCCCCAAGCAACCTTTCTCCCCCAACAAGCTTAACAGTTGCACCACTTGGATCTTTCCTTCAGAAGTGACCTCTAAAAGAGTGTCTCCAGTGACTTGCTATTATTCAGCTTCCCCTTGGTTTATAAGTAAAATGATTTCTCCTAACTTTTATTTGTATTTAATAATTACGCAAGTAATCTAGGAATTTGCTCCTAGGATAAAAATTTGAAATCTTCCATACAGATAAAGCTCAAGTCCTGAGACTACCCCACCCTGCTTCCCCACAAGTCCCATTGCTCTGTCTGCACACAGTTGGGTGTGTCTCCTTCCAAACTTTTTCTAGTTGCAATGGCATTCAGAGTTTATATCATACAATTGCTTGCAAAACCCAGTGTTTATAAAAAGCTACAGCTAGAAAACCATTCTGCCACTGGCCACACTAGGATTTCAAGTTCTGGTCCACTATGACAATTTTTATCAGCTTGCTTCTCAGATGGCTACTGAGACAGAGTTCTTGCATGTCAGCCCATTTAGGGATAGATGTACGTTCTATTTAAGTAAAAAGTCTCTAGGAACCCAGAAAAGGAAGGCCTCCTAAGGCAGAAAAAGTCCAGAAGTTGTTGCTTAGCATCTCTCAGACCCCTCACGTACCACCCAGTCTGTGCTGATCAATACGGCTAGAAGGTGTCGTGCTCCCGCCGCCTTACAAAAGGTAATTGAGTTTGGGGGACTGCATGGCTAGCTGCTTGGGGAAATAAGAATAAACAAAAGAACCGTTCAATATGTCAACAAATAGGTTTCCAGCTGTTGAAAATAAGCCTTCCTCTGGATTCTCAACAATATCTCCCCCAGTCCTAGCTAACAGGCTCCCAGGTACTTGAAAATGGATAAGCTAAGAATCAAGCAGTACCTCCTCTACTTTGGGGTCCTTTACACTTCCCGATCATTCAGGGGAGAAGAAATCCTCCCCTACACATGCACACACTTTTTTGCTCTCCAACAGCTTTGACACTTGAAATGCCCACCCGATTCTCTGTAAATGAAGTGTGGGGAATGGCTAGCATTTACTAAGTCCTTACTATGCCAGACACCGTGGTAAACACTTTTCATACATTATATAATTTTATTGCACAAAAGACCATTAAAGTGGAGGAGTTGCCCCCATTCCATAAATCAGCTAAAGAACTGAAGTAGAGAGAAATTAAAATGCAGTAACTTACCTTGGCTCTCACAGCTGAGAGGGAGTGAGGCTGAGCTTGTCACTCGGGTCTGTCTGACTCAGCCAGTGCTCTTAACTCACAGGAGAGTCACACACTGTCTTCGAGTCTCTGAAGGGCTGTCATATGGAAGAGAGGGTAGGTGTGTTCTGGGTAGCTCCAAAGAAAAGGATTTGACTGTTATTTGGGAATTACTCTTTCATTGGATGTGCTGCAAATTCCCCAAACAACATGTGTATGCATGTCCAACTCTATAGGGAAAAGAATATAAGAAGAGCAAACGGAACTGCCTTACATTAGGTGCCGTCCTGGAGGATCTGTGGAATCAGAGAGAACAGGAGGGATACCGGAGGACTGCAAATGGGCAGTGTCCCAATTTTCTTAAATAAGGAAACTACATACCGGTATACTGTAAACTCCAGAGCTGTAAGCTTGATGTCAATCCTTGGAGAGATTCTGCTGCAGATTATGAAGCAGGTAATTTATAAGCACTTACAATGTAAGTGGCAACAGGAGGTACCCAGAGGTACTCACCGGAGTCTGCAAATGAGACCAGGCTCCCAGACTATTTACAGCTATTACGAAGCCCCCCAAATTAGGGACTGACATTGGGTTACTATTTTTTTTCTTTTTCCAAGGAAAGGCACTAAGAAATAACACAAAACAAACCGAAATGATCATTTCCTAAAGAGAAAGGGTTTTCTTTAGACACCACAAGGAAGGGAAATAATATCAGAGTAAAGAACAGTTCTCTCCAAACAAAACCTTTCTCTTCTTTTCACAAAAGCATTTACTATAGAGTCCTCAGGCTTTATCTTTGCATGGGGGATTGTACAGTTTTCCTGGAAAATGGGAACTTGTCCAAGGATCTGCTTTAGGGAATCACTCAATTAAAACATCAACATAGATAAAATCAGATACCTGTAAGACAGGAAGCCTTTCTGGCCAGAAGAGAAGAGAACAGAATTTGACCTTAGCCTAAGTGAGGACATAAGCATAGGTAAAGAAAGTATCGACAGAAACAGAGTCACAAAAAGAGAAGTTGCCAAGTGGGGATGAAAGCCCTGCTCAGGCAGGACTTGGCCAGGACATTTGACCTGTGCCACCCTTTGGATCATACATCTCCCTTGTAGGAATAAGTGCCTGGTTCGGTTAAGCATTTTGACCACACATTGGTTTCTGACCTAATGATCTCCAAGCAACCTTCAGACTATTACTTGTCTTCTCAGGGCCAACTTTTTAAAGGCAGAAGAATACAAAACAGGATAAATACCACTTGCTAGATGTGTGGGGGGGTGTTCTAGAAGGGAGTCTGTAGCCCTGCTCCTTTCCTGATTCACATTTTAATGGATGCTGTAAAGGCACAGATGAGATTCTTACACAACTTTTCTAGAGCTGAGAAGAACCTCTATGATCAGTGTAGCAGGAAGGTTTACATTTAAGTCCCGTAGTTTACAATATGTCTGCCTGCATTTGGTAATTTTCTCTCTGTTCTTTGCTGCCAGTGCACTAAGCTCCTGCAGTCTATGTAAAATGCTTAGGGAACATATGCTCATTATAAGCTCTGCACCCTGAATAGCAGATACCTTCCTCTACACAACTGCTGAGCAACCATCCCAATCCTGTCTTTAGCCTTCAAATAACCCATGTCACTGTATACTTCCTTAATGAAAAAAGAAGACAAACTGATGTCATTTTGTTTGCAGAACTGACCTCCTTTCCAAATACCTTTAAATTGCAATTTGACTACATCAGTTGACATTGACCTTGTTTCCGAAGGTGACAACAACACAGTACAAACTGTTTGCCATATCCTCTAAAAATGTGTTTCTCGAAATAAAAATACGGTGAGGAACTTCTGCATTAGTTCCTTCTGAGAGTACGAGTAAAATGCAAATTTTAGGGGGGCTCTACTTTCAAAGAATCAGACCTACTAAATAAGAAGTAAGGCCAAAAAATATGTATTTTGACCCATGAGTCCAAAATGCTTGAATTTAAGAACAATTTGCTTAAGGTTGCCATTGTCCTGATTTGGGGAAGAAGGGAGTGTTTTTTAAACAAGGTCTTGCTCTGTAACCCAAACTGGCCTTGACCTCAAAATAATCCTCCTGCCTCAGTCTCCTGAGTGCTGGGATTACAAGTGTAAGCCACCATGCCCAGGTATGTGCTCTGACCTGGAATCCCAGTATTTCTAGTCCATTCTCCTCAGTTTCTTCATCTGTAAATCAAGAATAATTAAGTCCCTATCTCATACATCTGAGAGTTTTAAAGAAAAAAAACATGTATTAAGTGTCTGATATGGGAGTTGAAGCTCAGTAACCGCCCTTCATCCTGCTTCTTCACGGACTGTGCTGCCCTACCTTCTCTCAGCTCAGCTTCTGCCCCTGTTCCTAACTGCTCACTCTTTTGAGGTCTGGCATTCAAACTCGTCAAGAGATTCTCATTGGTCCAAACTTAGTTACCACTGTACTTGTTGGGCAAAGCTGTCATCCCTAGTTCCATCACAGGCTGTTTGCCAGCCTATAGAATGACTGCTCATGAATCAGGTGCCCATTCCTGGCTCAATCAGCTCTTGCCTGGGGGAAGCACGATCATGTGGTTCCAAACATAGCCACCTATTCATAAGAAACTGCTACTTCCCTCAACTAGGGTCTGTGGATGGAAACTCCTTAGAAGGGGCCCGTGGGTGTGGCAGGAATTCTGAGGCTTAGCCCGTCCAGTACACCTAGGCTTCTCATTTATCCAGCCTGCCAAAGGAATGAAGCGTTCAAGTTAACTGAAGTCTCTATTTAATTCCGACTTTTCATCTCCACCAGGCCAGGAACAGCAGTTTAAAAAAAACTAGACCACAGTTAAGGGAGAAAAAAAAAATTAACCCTAAAATGAGACTTTCTGTTTCTAGAACACATTTTTAAGTTTCCAAAGCACTTTCACATCCATTTCCTCATTGCAGAGCTTACAGACTGGCAGCCACAGGCTAGATCCAGACTGTAGACAGATTTTATTTGACCCACACAATGTTTTTTAACATGTTTTGATTAGTTGCCAACATTAAAAAGTCGGGAGATTTCAAATAAAAAGCTGGATTTCTGGCTTCTCTGGAAAAAACAGAAAAACCGAAATCCTTATAACCATCATGACAACTGTCAGCTGGAAATGAGAAGGCTGCGCCCTGTGGACAGGGCACTTGCTCACAGTATCCTCCCTGCCACCTTTCCTTTCTCACGATGTCCTGTTTGGCCCCTGTAAGCGTTTTTAACTTACATTTATTTATTATTTGTGTGTGTGTGTGTGTGTGTGTGTGTGTGTGTGTGTGCAGGGTCAGATGACAAGTAGTGGGAGTTGGTTCTCTTCTCCCAGGGATAGAACTTGGGTTATCAGGGCTTGGAAGCAAGCACCTTTACCTGCTGAACCAACTCACCGCCCACCCATTTGAGCCCCTTGGATTGGGTGGATGAAGTGGTAAAGAGCACAGACTCTGAAACCTAGCAGTCTGGACTGAGGTCTTAGTTTTGCTCTTCAGAATTTTCTTTCCTCTTCTGTAAAATGGGGATATAATAATCTCACCCAATGCAAAGGTATATTGCGCCAATTAAATGAGTAAATGCATACTTAGACTAATAGCTGGCACATGACAAGCATTAAATAATGACCTAGTCTCTCTCATGCTCTCTCCTTCTCTCCCTCTGTCCCTCTCTCTCTAGTACTGGGAACTGAACCCAGGGCCTTGCCAATGCTGGTAAGCACTCTACTAATGAACTATATCTCCAGCCCCTAATTTTATTTTTTATTTTGAGATAGAGTCTGGATAAGTTGCCCAGACTAGCCTTGAACTTGAGGTCTTCTTGTGCATTAGTTCTCTGAGTACCTGGGATTATAGACAGGCCTGTGTCACCAGGTCACCAGATCCAGCTTTCTACTAATTTCTTTAATGGTCTACACTTCTTTATGTACCTCTATGATATCCCAAAGTTTCTGAAAGCTGACGTTTTATGGCATGTTCATATGGGGCAAAATTGCATATAAATTGATATGAAGCTATTTATTTATCCCATTTAGAAATACTGATGTGTTTTCACAGGGTACTGTCCCAGATTCCATTAAGGGGTATTAGATATTATATGTCATATGTACCATACTGCTTTCCAATAACCCCAAAACAGTGAAACCCAAAAGATGTATTATTAGTAGTTGGTATACCTACTTAGCAGATGGGAAAACTAATCTAGCTACTAAATACCAAACAACTTTCCCAAAGCCTCATAACTTTAAAACAATTTGAAACATTAAGTATGAAGCCCATGATGCCTAGTACTTTAGTATGCACTGACATCACTACAGGCATGTTGATGCAGGTATTGGCTACCAGTCAGGGTCCCCTGAAGAGCTAAAAAGCATGACCATTTGTTGAAAGTGACAAACCCTACCCTTAATACTGTTCTTTTGACACTCTGCATTAATCTTTCCTATATACTATTGGGCTAAAATTAGGGTAGGGATTGTTTTCTTTTTAACAGAGGAGGAAACTGAGGTCCAAAGAAGAGTAGTAATTTATCAAATTCACACACAAAAAGGCAGGCAGAACTGAAACTCAAAACCAAATACTGTGCTGTTTCTTCCTTAAACCCCAGGGCCAGTCCAACAATGACATATGCTGACCTTTTCACATACTGACCCTCACATTCTGCAGACAGTCCTAAAGTTTTCAACATACCTGATGAAAGGAGAGTTTCTCAAGATCTCAGCAAATATAAAAATGAGACAGCATGTCTGGGTGGACCTCATCCTTCCCTGTAGCATAAGCAGCAATGTGCAGACACCATCCAGTCAGAAGTCAGGGAGGGGAGATTTCTCAAATCCCAAGAAAAATCACAGAGACCCTACTGTTTGCTCTTCTCTGTTGATTTTTAAGAAGCTGACATTTACTTATGCCAAAGGCCAAAAGAAATGAAAAATCTACTGGAAAGGGAATTTCATCAGTCATGAAGCAATATGTTAAAGAAACCTTTGCACAGTATCAGTTCCCTTGTTTGAAATGCAGAAAGCAGAGCACAGCTATTTCATATTGTTAGCACATCAGAGACCAGGGCATGAAAACAGCATGTCCAGGACCTCTTTC